CAGGGATCGGTAATTCTTCTGCTCGCCCAGTTGTGCATGAGGGCCTGGAAAATGAAAAGTATTGCAGGACCAAACGCGTTGTTGCGTCGGCGTCGCTTATCGTTGAATGGAAATTCATCCACAGAGCGGGCTGCCGTGGTCGAATCGAAGATGTTGTTGTGGATGAAGCCCTACGAGGGAAGCATCTGGCCAAGTGTCTCATTGAGACTTTAGTTGGAATAGCCAGGATCATCCATGTCTACAAGTTATCACTGGAATGCAAAGATGAACTGATCTCCTACTACGAGCAGTTCGAATTCAGCAAGGACAAGGGCAACAATTTCCTTGTCCGCAGATTTGAAATTCCTGAGACTGATACTTCGCCTTGAGGGCTGAGAAACATCTCTCTCTCTCCCTCTCTCTCTCCAAGTTGCAGCTTAAAAAAATCTCGGGGATAATTGTTTTTTGCTTGCCAAAATGATCTTTTTACTTGGAAAAGGAGACAGTAATCGATAGCTTCAGCTAAATTTGCTGTTTTTGTGCATCAGGGAGGAAAGCTCGGATATTCCATGAAGCTGCATGTCCTCGTGTTTTTTGGAGAAAAGAAGTGGGTGAGGGATGGGAAGGAAAAGGTGACTGTTTTGTTTTTTCAAAATGATATGTGTTGAGGGAGAACATTTGTTGGCACATATCACTGAGGCTTTGTGTTCCTCTCGCCCCAACCTCATTTCTCATTATCGTATTCTGCTTTTGGTGATTTCTATCCGAGCAAAAATGAGCGCTGTACTTCCATTTTATACGATCTGCTTGTCCTCGGTGTTCGCTTTCATTTTGCCCTCGTTTGCTGTTCTTGCATTGTCCCATACTGCTGCTCCCACTCTCCAGTTCGGCCTTTTCATAATTGTTTGATTAGAATTTTTGCTTTGAAGTTTTTGCTTAACGAGCTGCGCGTGGAATCTCTTCACGAAGTTCGTGATGGTTTCAGAGAGGGGATTATTGTTGTGTTCACTTTTGATTAGTTCATTTCGGTTTTTTTCTTTTTTGATGTTCCGAGGCTGTTCACTTTGGTTCTGTCTCTGTTTTTGTTTTGTCTGGTAATGAAGTTCTGCCCGAGAAGACTGCGATGCGCATTTGTTGAGTGCAAGCCGAATCATGCAGTTTGCTTGTCACGTCCATCTTCGTCATCCAGCGCAGCACGTCACACTTCGCTGCTCTGTTATGCTTGCTGCGTGTCGCTTCGCGCCCTTCCAATAGTCGTTCTCCGACGGTTGCTGGCGGAGCAAGTATCATGCCTCGTCCATCGATGATTTTCGCATCCCCGTATTAAAAGCCCAAAGTCAGGGACTCCTCCGTATTTGCTAAAGAGTGAAAATGCGAGGACAGTGCAGTTCGACCGGACCTTAGTGCAGATGACGAGCATGTTTGGAATCGATGAATGAGCTCTCCATGGTGCTGTACGAGGGAACCGAGAGGGGATCCGAATGGAAGTTGAGGCGGG